TGGTTAATTATTTCAGTCTTTATCCAAATTCTTCCTCGATTGAATTTCCTTCTTCGCATGCCTGTACGTTTAGCACCGTATCTGGTGATTCATCAATCTGGAATGGACTGATTCTCCTTTCAAGCAATAATACTTCCGAAAGTCAGAAATCTTTGAAGCCTGGTTCTGATATCTCTCCTCCAACCATCTTGCCTAACGACCCCGTATTTCATTGCTCCGCAACACTGCTGCTTAAGGTCTCACCTGCCGAGCTGAAACTAACTCGTTCATCAGGACCTCCCCAGTCGCCTTCTCTTAATATTTCCAATTCGTCTACCACCGATGTTGATTGTGTTCAACTTCGGCATCCAGTACTCCCAGATCGAAACTTTTGCCAAGCTAATCTTTCACTTTCTTCATCCTCATTGGATAGATTGCCCCTACTGCGGATGGCTCGTGGTGCCAGTCTCGAGGGCCTGCCCCGCTACCTACGCCACGCATTGGTAAAGTCTAGGAAGGTGGGTTCAAAAATTTGCGATAAATTAATTACTTCGTCATACAAAATTGCATTATCAAAGTAATTTGGTCTCACCTTAATTATTCCAAATGGTATCCATACCTTTCTGCTTCTCTTATAACATTTTCACCTATTTTAGCACAAAAATCAGAAAAATAATCTTTGAACTTAATAGCTTTCATAATGTTCTTGCTGTTTTGAAACTTTTTCACATCTACAGGAAATTTTAGTTCTTCGTTTAATGCCGTCTGCACTGGGCCTTCCTACACGTTTAGCAAAACATTCTCCTCGTGAAGTCATTGATTCGCGATGTAACTACTTTCGCATCTTCCGTCAACTGTATCAGCTCTCAGCCTGTGCTGCCCTCGAGCCACGTCTACCTGGCGTTCGCGACTGTCTTCTTCTCCCGAAGCACGCAAGTTCACCTTCTTTGTTGCCAGATCCACTTGATCGTCTGATACCATGCTCTGGAGGCACCTATCGACTGCCAGAGCTATCTTCTGTCTCTGGATCGGATTATACACCCGATTCAAAAGCGGAATTTCTCGCTTATGGCCTGGGCCTTTCTCCAGGGCTCAGACGGAAGCATCATCAACATCAACTTCTTTTGGTCATTGTGC